AAAAAAGAAAATTGCTCTCAATCAGAAATAACGAAATATTCGCAGGAAAAGACATTACCTAGGGCAGATGAGAGAGATTCGACATGAGAGTAGAAAGATTCATTATCTGGACGAAACTTGGCTCAACGAAGCATATAGTGGTGGAAAGACGTGGCAAGACAACATACAAGTTCACGTCAAGCCTTTCGAGAAGTCGGAATATGTAGTCGACCCGAAATTTCATAAAATCTTTTGTTTGAGACCCCTTTGCGATACAAACATAAAGTGGACTCCGTCATGTATTATGAAACAAGCCTTTACGCAAAATTGTGTTTAAGAACTCTGTTAGCGTTTTGCATTTATAATGAGCATTTACTACTTTTTTCTATAAGGAAACACAGTATTGCTCTCCTACTGGTTTCATGATGAAAATCATTTAGCGATACTCGTCTCGTAGTTGACAAACCGAAAAAAATACGGTCAAATTATTGTGATTCTACCACATGAATTCAAAATATAATCCCCCGTCAAAGATGTCTTGAAGAAGTAGGCACCTGTAATCTTCGTGTCTAGCACACCAAACGAAACAATAACTCCAAATCCTTTTTGGGAGATTTGTAGCTCTATGTAGGAGGAAATTTTCTTATCGCCAATGATAACGAATAATTATGTTGAACCATCCATTATTTGTGAATATACTCTAATCACATCATAACATTTTATTACAGATTTTATTATCCTGACGATGTTGTCTGAGGAGTAGCCATCTACAAAATATTTTTCTATCAATCACCCACCATGAGAATATAAACTTTGTTTTCATTAGCCTACCTGGTATATAGAATTTTGAAATTTTTTATTCAACTTGTATAGAAATTTTGGTGCAAGAATAAGTATATTCAATTTAAAATTGTAAATCATGAATCATGTCTACCTATAGAGATTGAAAATGAAACACATCACTATTCATGAATTGCAACTAGTGGAATTTAAGAATTGAAAATACTTTTAAATCGTCACCGATATGTTTGCAGGGAGTGAAATATATTTTAAATAGCGACCCACCTCGGCTCCGCATAAGTGCAATTCTGATGCTTAATATTTCAAATCAAATCCTTTATTTTCCTGTTCGACAATTTTATAAGTAACTGTATTAGGAATAGTCAGTATAAGGTAAGTTACAATGGTGAATTACAAACTACTACACTAAAGCACACACGAAAACGCATGCACTTACACATACACTTACGTTAAATAATCATTAACGCTGTAATAGGCATTCAAAACTAAAAAAAGTTTTATTTTTGTTTTAAATGTCTCTAATGTTTTGCTGTCTTTTATTTCACTTGGTAAAACATTAAATAAACGAGGACCTGCAACATTAGGACCTTTTAGAGCAATCCGCCCTCGAGCTAGCGGAACTTAATCGATGATTTTTTTAAAGGCATACATATTTTCTCACAGATATTTCATAATCAAATAACTTCCGAAAATATATTTCTCTATAAAATACCCAAGATATATCTGTCATACTCTTCACATTCATATCACGTATTTATTTTTCCGTTTCCTCGAATTACCCCTCGCCTACACTGTCGTTATATTGGAAAAAAGTTCATCTCACGGATACGGAATTTTTCTTCTCTCGTTTCATGTGTTTTTTGCACTATCCTTGACATGGCATAATGGCGTCCTACTTATCCACGACGCCGCATTGTGGGCGGTACGGGACGTCTCAGGGTCGACGAGCAATTGAGAGGCTGACTAATGAAAAAGTTGAAGTACTCCACATGCACAGAATCCTACATACCACGGTATTTTCATCAAAATCGTTGATTGAATAGGGTCTCCTAATCTACATCATGAGAGGTTTGGTAAAGAAATGATACCTAGGTTAACTCTCTAATATTGTCATAAGTGAATAATATTGTTCATTATGGTTTTTTTAATGAAATATCTTTCATAAAACATTTACCTAATGACAAACAGCCACAGATCTCCATTCTTTCACAAAGAAGGAAATTCATTCAACAGACCGTTAGTTTCTTGTCAAAGTTCTATTCAATTGAAAAAACGAACAAATCAATTACATTAGTCTTTCTTCCCACAGACAGCGAAGTTGATGAGTATATTCGAATTCTAATATAATAGAAATTTCTCTAGAAACAAAGGTCTGATTATTTTTTTATCTACTCTCTGCTAATAGTTTTCATGTTATAAGTAACAATATGCTTAACAATGTATTGATTTATAAAAGTTGGGAATTGTATCTTTGTCACTGTTTGTAATCATAATGCAACACTTGGCTGTTTTGAGATTTTCGATATTGCATGTATCCCAGACTTCACAGTCATTCAGGTTATTCAAAACGTGTGTGAAGTGAAATTTCGAAGCAGTTTGAAAACTACTTTTGTGTTCAATTTTTTGAAAATTAATCCAACCCGCACTATTATATTTTCATACACATGGAATGACAATAAACTTTTGGCTTGTCGAAAAGTCGATGATTTACGGTGACTAGTTAACTTATGAAATAGTTTTGAAGTACACCTATGTTCCTGATATTTTTTTTAATATCATCTGTAGTTCCTTCATGTTCAGTTGTGGATCATAATGGGAGCTGTAAGAAATATGTTAAAAATACTGGTATTCTTCCTATCAATCAAATTCTGAACCTTTCTCAAACCCAATTTGTCATAACTAAGACATCCAAGGACTCGCGAAACGCGCGCCGAAAGACTATTGTTTTGGTGTGGAAAAAGTGTTTTCATTAGATAGAAACATCAGAAATGCAACATCCCCAGATGTCGTCAACTTATCGCCCTTTGATCCCATTATTGCTATCTCGGAAACGGCAAGACCTACAAGTTCGATTGAATTGGACAAAAGTTTCCTATTTTGGGGAACTAGAATAATCTTTTGGATCTACCGCCTTCATTTCGAAAGGTATAAAAAGGTAGGAGAACTTTCAGTACTGTTCCATATTCGATATAATCTGATTCAAGCCAATTTACAAATACGACGTTTCGTTCGTTAACTTTCATCATCAACTTTATTTTTCAAATACGGATCTCTGGTTTTTTCATCGATTTCTGCAGCCACTGTAATAACAAATTCAGCTATGTATTACAATAAATCTGAAACTTGAAAAAGCTAATGTCTTAGCGAAACATGTTGTGATATATTTTTCAAATTGAGTTTGTGGAGATCAAATCGTTGAGGTGTAGTTTTTGAAAAATCAATAAATCTCTTTCCTGAATCTTCATTTCATAACCACTGTATAGTCATACAATTTCCTGTCAGAGCTACCTCAAAAAAGTAGGGACCAATATATTTTAGGTCTAGAACTCAAAGCTATACATAAACTCCACGTATCGGAAAAACATGTGATATATCAAGTAACAAATAGAAAAAAATATGTCAAAATACTCCTAACCATCTACGTTGTTCACGATATCTCGTTTATTGTTCAAATTATCGAAACATCACAACGAAAAGTCAAGAAGGATCAGGTCAAGTGAACTTGGTGGTTATATAATAGGACCATTGTTTCCTATTTATCGTTTTGGCATAGTCATATTGAGAAAATTTCTGCAAATAGTTCTGCGATGTGCCGGAGCTTCGTCGTGTTGAAAATACTGATATTCCCTCAGAATATTCAATATCTTTCAACAACTCAACTACAGTCTACCACATGAATTCAAAATATAATCCCCCGTCAAAGATGTCTTGAAGAAGTAGGCACCTGTAATCTTCGTGTCTAGCACACCAAACGAAACAAGGAGGACATTTTCTTGTCGCCAATGATAACGAATAATTCTGTTGAACCATCCATTATTTGTGAATATACTCTAATCACATCATAACATTTTATTACAGATTTTATTATCCTGACGATGTTGTCTGAGTAGCCATCTACAAAATATTTTTCTATTATCACATTTCGTTTAACGCAGATGGTAGATTTTTCAACTTTAAAAGGTCTGATTTTTTTTTTCTCAAAATATTTATAACTGACCCTGTCGATATTACACGATGATGTGCAATATCTCTCAATGATACTCCTTTGTTCTCCTACTTGAGGGTTTTACAAATGAACGAACATTCTGGAAACTCCTCCAAATGCGTTTAAAATATCTTTTAGATGGCTGGCGTCTTTCAGGGAACAATTCTCCATACAAAGCTAGAGCGTATACGAAAAGCATGTTAACCTTGTCGTCATTAGAAAATGTCATGGTTTTCCCCTTACAAATTTCCCCACACGAATCGAATGATTATTGACTTACTTGACAGTGAATTTGACAATTATACATATTCTGTTAATTCATGGCTCACGTTATTCAAATCAACTCATTTCAGTACTCTCATAAATTTTGTCTCCACCATTTTTTGCATTTCATTAGTTCGGACTTCCATTGTCTAATATGATATAAATTGATCTGAGTTTCCTGAAAGAAACTATCATAATTAAAAAGATTAGCTGAAAAATAACAATAAATTAGCTAAAAAGTAACAATTAGGTATATTTAGCAAAAAAACTGAAATTACAATGAAATAAAATACAAACAACAATTATCTGGCCATTATTACGCATTGGTCAAAGACGAAACAGACTGGTTTAAATTTGACGATAGTCGTGTCACTAAGTGTTCTGGCGATGTCTTGAATTTATTGGAGCCTCTGGAGACACCCTACATTCTATTTTATGAAAGAGAGGACATTGACAGATAAAGATCTTCAGATGATGTGGTGCTGCAGGTTTTTCCGGGTTTTCCTGCAGCTGAAAAAGCAAATGCGCCACTGGGATCAATGAAGTCGCCCCGGAGCGCCAATTAATTTTTGGTGTTTCATAATTTCATGATTTGTATTTTGAAAGATATTCCTCAAAATCTGTTATTTTGGCTCAAAAGGACACATAAATTTCACAGCAGTGGATTTTCTGTGTCGTTACTATAGAAACGGTTTGTTGACACTTCGCGTGTTTGACTGTTTTCTCGTCAAGTTATTTTCAAGAAAATGAATGCTGATTGTAATATTGGTAGTGACACCCCATTAGATATATCTGAGAAAGCAAATACAATAGTATCTAATATGCAATATGTTACCCGCCAAATCCAAGTTAGTATATGAGAAAACATTGAAAGAAACTATGATAATTGTAAGTCTTTTTGTTGAATTCCCCAGAATCAGTCTACGCCTTTTTTAACGATACTTTATTCATCACTTTCTTAAGAAGGCCAGTCTGGTGCTGGAAAGATCAGCAAACTAGAACAGAAATCAAGATAATCTGTTGACTGTGCCAATGATCGAAATACTCATAGGCGTAGGAAATAAATATTTTCAATGGAATACGAAGAATGCATAGGGTTTTTCAAATGAGAAAGCAACTGCATTCCTGGTTAATATCACGCCGGAAATGAGATTAAGTGGTACTCTCTAGTACCCCTTTTGGGTGCCTTGTGTTTTCGTTATACTGTAGTGTTGTGTTTTTATTTTATTTAGGTATTCTTCAATTTCAAATGTTTGATTTTTCACCTGACTTGCTACAAATGTTTTATACATATACGTAGTCAAATAAACTATCTACCTATCTACTACCAGGAAAGTATTTGTTTTTTGGCAGGCATTTTCCAAATCTTATGGTGTACGAACGATGGAAGAGATGAACGTTTCGAATTTCATTCAAAATATACATTTTCTTATATTTATATCTTCCACGACACAGTTGTTTTGATTTCTATTCGAATTGATAAATAGGATACTTCTTTATTTGGGTCTTTTTTCGCAAAATAGAGCTGACACTACTGCGTTATAGTAGAACAGCTCCAATCGTAGTTGAAGGCTACCTAGAAGTATCAGCAGTAATTCAATCAGAAGTGCCTACCAAACAACAGTACTGTTTTGGGTCAATCTGCTCTACTATGATAAGCAGTTACACACCGAAACCAGTCGTCCGGATATCACTCGATCAATTTAAAGTGTATTTGCTATCTTTGTATAGAGGTTGTTGACAATGTTTCATGGTGAATTTCATCATTTCGGACTTCCATTGTCTAATATGATATAAAATGATTTGAAATCCTTGTGCAACGATTGCAAGCATTACCTTTGTGAGAAAACTAATACGAAATTCTTGATGTAATCCAATATTTTCATACGGTATCAGCCAGGAGAGTAGCTATTTTAGGACAAGTATTTGCAAAATCCTACAATGTGAGAAAGCTAGGAAATATTTCCTTTATTTCCCTAACTGAAAGATACCTATCGTGAAGAGTTCAAGAAATATTATTTCAGTAATGATATGTCTATATGTCGATTCTACAACTGTAATTTTTTCCTGGGATTCTGGGGATACCTGTAGTTTTTGTCAAAAATTCGGATATATGGATGACTGATTCAAAATAAAAAATAACAGTATGTCAGTAAATACTTGAGTATATGTAAAAAATATCTGTCAAACATAAAACACGAAAAATCCATCAAGAATGTGATTCCTTCTCTTTGGTTATTTTCGCCTCCCATTAATCCACACACTGTGGTGTACCCAATTAATAACGCTATACTGTAATTCATTCACTTCTTGATTTCCATGCAAAACCTCTATTTTATAATCGTGACCTAAAATGTACAAGCAACCTCTTGATTCATTTGTATTAAACATATTTCAGCCTTTCATAAAATACAATAGCGTGCTACGAAGAAGAAAAAAACCGAATAAAAATCTTGCCAGGTCAGCATATTTGCTTTCGTCGTAATCAATCTTTTCATTGTTAGATTCCATCACAATGGCTTTGAAGAGTTCGCAGCAACGTGTTTGAGAGGGAATAACTTATTTTCAGTAGAAATCACGCCTTTTTGTTTTGCCACGCAGACGCTTTCGAAAATCACGACTTTCGAATAAGAAGTTACGACTGTCGAGCGAAATTGGGTGATTTTATTTGTTTTTTTTTTGTTGAGCCAGGGGAACATAAAGTGACCCAATGAAAAAGGGTCTGAAAGCAAACGATTTCGTAAAATATAACTATATGTTTGGCGAGCGGTATTCGGTATTATATTATATATAACTGGCTAGATGGAGAAATGCTACGTTACTGTATCGTTTGTTTCATAAATATCTCGCACATTGGAAATACAGGGTGTAACTGAATAAGTGTAAAACATTTAAGGAGGTGATTCCTCATCGAAAAAAAGATAGGATCTTTCATATAAAGAAACTCAATTGGTGCATCCCTTGTTAAGATACAGCCCCTTAAAGGGGGTACATAAAATTTGTATAACAATTTTTTTCACAAGCACTGAAAAAGTTACAATGTTGATATCAACCTGACGTTTTGTACTACCAAAAAGACACTTAGGTTTACCCCATGGTTGTAAGGGGTGGAAAACGCAACCCCTAAAATGCATTTCCAATGTAACTTTGTCTTATTATTTGTTTACCATTTAAACATTTATTTCCGATAGCCTGTTTCATTCTAAACAAAAAAATGTCTCTTGGGTTTTTTGCCCAAAATAAACCAGTTCGCAGCAAAAACTTATTTTACGAACAACTACAGAGATACATCGTCATAAATGCGAACTGGATTCATTGTTATTTTGTAGTTAGTACCTGCATTAAACGATTAAAGGGTAATAAACAAAACTAATTTATTAATAACAGAGAAAATTAATAGAGAAATCGAGAGGATTGAGATCCGGGGATTGAGCGGACCAGGACTGTGGTCCTCCTCGACCTATTCATATTTGCATATGTTTCAGTTAAATGCTGACGTGCTACTTGACTAAAATGGGCGAGAGCCCCATCATGCATAAAAACATATCCATTCTGACGCCCAAAGGAACTTCCTCCAGCAGTACTGGATGCACTTCTTTTGAAAATTGAACGTATAACCATGGGGTAAACCAAATAAATTTCTGGCTAAGTGTCTTTTTGGTAGTACAAAACGTCGGGTTAATTTCAATATTGTAACTTTTTTAGTGCTTTGAAAAATATTGTTATAAAAATTTTATGTACTCCCTTTAAGGGGCTGTATCTTAACATGGATGCTCCAATGAAATTTCTTTATATGAAAGATCCTATCTTTTTTTCGATGAGAAATCACCTCCTCAAATGTTTCACACTTATTTAGTTACACCCTGTATAGAGATAAATGAGAAAAAATGGAGTATTCGAAATTATATTTTTGTGTGTAACTTTTTTATTTTCACATATATCGAATATATATTTATATATATATTGCTACAGAAATTATCAATTTACTATCGTATGTTCATGTAGCTTTTATTCAGGTTCTCGTCGGAATTGGCTGAAACTCAGCTTTGAACCTGTATTTCTTATAGAAACATTTTGATAGACAATGTTCATTTAATGTTGCCTTTTTTGTTACGACTCTGATAAAATTTTGTTTATGTACCACAATTGATTTCATAATAAAAGAACGTTATTTTTTGACTGAAAAATACAAATTTTTAGAAAGGACAAAAGGAAAAGCCAAACTTTCTAATCAAGCAAAATCCTCTGGCTTACCTTTTTTCTTTTTATCAGGTAAAGTAACAATAATCCAACTAATATGTTTGTCACTATTCAATATTCTACCAAAAATATTTTTATAAAAATTTTTTCAGAACCATCTTCTTTCGCCAATAGAATATACATTTTTCCTCTCGAAATTTGCATTTAATTGGTTATTTATGTGTTTTACCCTACAGCAATCTAAATATTTTTTTTTATTTATTCAACAAAAAAATGTGGCCAGAAAAAATCATTTCGAAGTATACCCAAAATATTTAATATACTTTAAGAAACAAGGGACTGTATGTTTTGATACGATTTCATTACATATCGTTTGTGAGTTTCACTTACAAAATAATTTATAAAACATTGAATATAATCACGCCAGGTCAAATTATTTGCTTTTTCATAGGTTCACAAATCAATCTCATTATTGTTCGAGAATCCTTAAAATGTTCTGTATGAAAGATTCAAACCGTTTGATATCGCAGCCTATTTGAATTCAGGTCGTCGCGTTTGATTTATGTCTTCGGCTAACAGGCCAAAGCTATGCCATTTTTCATTTTCCTTCGTAGCTGTTATTGAATTTTGTTCTTTTTTTTACAGAAACGAAACAAGAACTGGAAGACCTAATGGCCGACATCAAGAAAACTGCCAATAAAGTCCGAGCCAAGCTAAAGGGTGAGTCGATAAAATTAATCATTTTTCTTACAGTTCTGTAGAAAAATTGCATGATTCAATTTATGAGATATTTCTAACGAAGAAAAATGTTCTAATGAAAATGGAAACTGAAGTTATTACCCAATTCTGAAAGTCAAAACTATATAGTCAAGGTATTAAGGAACAAAAAAAATTTATCTATCCGTACAATAGATTTTTTTGGTCAGTTCCAACGAATGAAATCATTCGCTTAGTCGCTTTTACCGATTATAAAAAAAGTAATGACTATACTAGCTATGCAAACATCTAAGCCTGCCAAAAAAATATTCAAGAAAACAGTTGGAATCGGAGAAATGCTAAATGAACTATCAGCCGCTGAAAATTGGTAGTTGAACAGATTATGACATAATTACACTTGAGCCTTAATAGCAAGAAGGCTGTCAATGAGAATACCTTGACAGATCTCTAATTTATCAGTGGAAGTGAGTCCGGACCGGAACTACGAAGTGACCTGTATAATAAATATAAAAAAAGTTCAAAGTTCCCCACCACAGGGGGTTAGCAACCAGTAGCAACAGAATCGAGTAGAACCAGAGACAAAATCATACTTTGGTCAAATGTTCTTAAAGATATGTAGGTTTCTTCACATATTATCAAAGCTCTGTTCACTGGGGTGTTGATGACCCTAGTGAACAGAGCTTTGAGAATATGTGAAGAAGGTACGGTGACGAGAAATAAAGCACCTAACAGCTGTGTTGCAAACGAACGGTTACGATAGCAAAGACATAATTCGCGTCCAAGAGAGAAGAAGAGAAACACCAGTGAAGATCAACCCCAAGGCACTCTCTGCCATACATAGAAGGTGTCACCAACCGAATCGGAAAAATTCTAAAGGAGGAGAAAATTAACACCGTCTTCAAAGCAATGAAGAAATTATCGGAGTATCTCATATCAGCAAAAGACAGTCAAATCAACGAGAGTTTACGAGATTCCATGTAACTGTGGTGAAATCTATATCGGTCAGACGAAAAGAAGCATTGGTACCCGCCTAGTCGAGCACAAGCGAAGTTGCCGATTGGGACAGACCGAGATGTTTGCAGTTGCTGATTATATGCACTGATGTCCGACGGGGAACACAAGATCCTGTTCGAAAATACTGGGAGAGAACATATCTACCAAAGGTCTGGCACACAGCATTGAAAAGCGCCAAAACGAAGCCAAGTCGCCCAAATCGCGCGGGAAGTTCACGCGAACCCGCCATTACAGAAAGTGCGCGAAAAATCAGCACTATAAATGACACGGCAGAAATGAGACCTTCAGTTTAAGTTGATTCGTCAAGAAGAGTACTTTGACCACGCCACTGGAGATGACTGCCGCTGTTGCAGTTGAAACGTTTTGAGATTATAACCAAAGAAGGCTACGGCAAAACCCTGCTGACTCCCTTGCAAACGAGGGTGCTGCAAGCAGTGTTATCGGACCAGAACCTGTCATTGGCATCGCTTTAGGTTTCGCCAAATAAACTTTGAACAACTGGAATGCAAGAAGATGTGTGGACTTCTGGCAAAATCTTCCAGGATTGGCTCGCTCCAAAGCGTTTATTCACCCTTCCAAAGCTTGATACCAAACAGATGTTGGACTACAGTAATGATGAACTACGGTGTCTAACAGACCTTGTCATTTGAATCATCATATGCATATGTTTGGAAAAACTGAAACAGCAGAGCATATACTTTGTGCCTGCCCCGCTGAGAACCGAATTAGATTCTTAGAGTTCGGCAGAGCCGTACTCTTAACATCTGGCCTGAAAGACTCACCATACAAACTAATCGGCTTCGTTATTGGGTTTATTTGGCCGAGTGTGAATAGGTGTGAGCCGCAATAAACCCTTGCGGGTTGCAGTGGAGGGTCGAATAGACCCACCAATCAAAACATTGACGCCATCTGTGAAAACCTTCATTCCTATACCATGTCTTTTGTTCGGGAGTAACTCAGGGCAGTGTGAAAATCACCAAGAGTCTTGAAAAAGCATTACTTGGGATTGAAACCGACACTTCTAATGCCCAATAAAAAATGCAAGTAGCTTAGTTAGAGGAACGAAGTCACTTTTCTAAATAAATCAATGCGTCCCACTTATTTTTGGTTCTTTTTCATAAAAAAGCCAAAAATGTGGCGGGAAAAAGCCAATGATATGACATCTTTCGCCACAGAAAAGGCGCTATATTTTTTTTCTAAATAGAAAGGAGGGAGTCTTGTGACCCTTCGCTCAAAAGATATTTCAATTCTCTGTACAACCACTTTTACTCTTTTGAATTTCGATAACCGGTTTCGGCGTAATTGGTATTTCAATTTTTTGGGAAAATGGAATTCGTAACTTTGCAACCAAATGAAGAAACAACTCCAAAGGTAGTTATCACTGATTACACAAATTTTGTAATGTATAAGAGAAAAACAAATATTCACAGAAATGAATCGTATTTTTAATTCGATTGTCACAAAGTATTTGACAAAAAAACGCATTTCTGTTCGAATCCGATTTATATTTATGATCGACTATATAGATAAGAATCCACACCGTGTTACCCTAGTAACAGAGAGTATTGTTGTTACCTTGACAGATATACTATTTATACTGAGAATTCGCTTCAATTCATTTCGTTTGAATTTTCAAAAATGATTCACGTCAGATCTTCAGAGGAAAAAAACATGAGTAATCCCAATTTACGCCAAGGCCAGACGTAATTTTCATGAGGCAGAAAGGGTGTAATGCAAGATTTCCTGTTAAGCCAATCTTGCCTAAAATATCTCAGGGAATCGTTAAAAAATTTTCATACAACTTCAAGTACCTAAAGCTAGAGGAGCTGGAAGAAAATTTATCTCGGACGGGAAAAAGAGAAATTTTTGCGTAGTAAATAACCCCACAACAGTTGCTAGTAAGAATTATGTCTCAACAAGTATCGTCAAGAAATGCCTCTCAAGGCATAAGTTTCAGTGTAAACTTAAGCTATTGAAAAAAATAATGTTTATATGTTTTTTCCGTTAACCAGCTATCGCACCCCAACGATCGACAACCCTCAGAAGTCGAAACTTGTGCGAGCTAAGGACTTACCTTTTATCATGTGATTCCTAACACGGGTTGGACGATAGCAAGTGAAAATCAAGCGTTCAGTCTGGGGCTTGAACCATCGACTCGCACATCGGCCGATTGACTGAGTGAACAAAGCACTCACGTCGAACCGCCCGGCTACCGACCGGCTATTACTAGAATTAAATGAAAATGACCATGACATGCAGTTTTATGAGTTAATGTCCGTTTCATTACAAATCGAAACTGCAAAACAAATTTTTGTTTTAATGACGATTGCAGCATTATCTTCTTAAATAAAAATGTCAACTGTCAAATTGTGGGTTATTGGTCTGACATAAACCCGCATATTTTCCAGAAAGTACACTCGAACCCTAAGAAAATAAATGTCTGGGCAGGGTCCCATATATCTAGCGAGAAATTTAACTGGTGATTTTTGTTTGGAAATTCTTAAAAACCTCCTGTTTTCCAACAAGATGGTGCGCCCCACATTTTTTAGGTCTGTAAGGGATTAGTTGGATGAGACATACCCATATGGATTTGATTTATCTCAATGTTTCCCTATAGGGCTGTATCAAATCGCAAACCTGGGACATTACGGGAGCTTAGAGATAGAATTTCCGAAACTTGTGATAGCATTACTTCAGAAACATTCCAAAATGTTAGAAATGACTTAGAAACTAGACTGTTCTACTGTCAGGAGGTTTAAGGAAAACATTTTAAACATTTACTCAAACGATTTTTTATGTATAAGATGACTAATAACGAGGTTAAAATAAAGTACTACCGTTTGATGCCCGTGAAATTAACACTTATCTTTTGCAAAAGATGTTACTAATTTATTTATTATTCCAATGAACATTTATTTTAAAAATCCGACAGAGGATGGCAGAGTACAAAATTCCCAGTCCCAAATTCAAACATCGATAAAAAAGTAAAAGTCATTGTATAGAAAATCGAAATACCTTTTATACGAAATGTATTGATTTAGTCTCCAGCGATTCAAACCAATGTGAATCACAACTTTCGCACAGGCACCGCTTTCAGAGCGCCTTTATTATTTTTCTGCAGTGCTTGTGTTTTGTCATTAAAAAAAACAGACCAGCCCTCTCTGCGGCATGTGATGTCAAATTATTGGCTTTTCCATTAAAAAGGACTAAAAATGTTTCCTTTTTTTAAACATTTCGTCCGGCTTGGGTATTTCGCCCTGTTCGAAAGTTTATAAACCGAATGTTTATTTTAATTTTCCACTTTAATACAAGATTTTGTTGAAAGGTGAAACAGGAATCTCTGGCGTAGAAAAAATTCAAAACAAGCACTTCTTCCAATCCAGAATTGCAACACTCTTCTATGCGCAGTAAGCTCGTTTCACCTACCAATTTGGCGTCTTCAGGAGATGAAGAAAACTGAAGAAAACTTTATATCCTGAAGACGCCAATTTGGTTGGTAAAACGCGCGTTGCGCGTAGAAGAGATTACATTTTTGGTTACTGGAAAAAGTACTTGTTTTGTAAAATATTTTGAAATTACGTATAAGGGATAGTTGACAATGTGGCGGGTCTTACATAAAAGGCTACGAAACATTCCGATCGCCGAGCTTTTTTCGTGAAAGTCACTGTTTTTAATATATTCTACTCTCAATGTGCGAAATAAAATGTACCCTATAACGATATATTTTTTAACGTAACTGATATAAACTACTAGAGGCGTTTTTTTCATGTTGTGTATTGAGTCTGATTATGCTAGAAAGAAATTTGTTTTGTCATTCTTGTGGATTACAAATTCTATTACCACTTTTTATTGTGAAATATGTATAATTGGTTACTTTGTTAATCAATTCCTTCAACAAGTATTGAGTTCAACACAACTTTACGTGAGTCAATTTATCTTTATTTATGCGAAGTTAAATTCTGTTAACGTTCGTGAAAATTCGGAATAAA